TTAATTGCTTGGCCAGTTTATTTCTATTTTTAGCAGAGACGGGGTCTCGCTCTTGCTCAGGCTGGTCTCGAACTCCTGACCTCGAGCGATCCTCCCGCCTCGGCCTCCCAGAGTGCTGGGATCACAGGCGTGAGCCGCCGCGCCCGGCCTAGGAATCGATTATTCTTAATTAATCCTTTCGATTTTAATAGTTTCAAGCCCTTTTAGCTGCTGAGCGATGACACCTAGATGCTGCTCGACTAGGGGTTGTCAGATTGAGCAGATAAAAATACAGGCCGCTCAGTGAAATGTGTCAGATACATAACGAGTAACTTTTTGGCATAAATATCCTTGTGTGATATTTGGGTCCCACTCCCACTAAAAAGTTACTCACATTCAGTCGAGCAGTCCGTGTTGTGTCAGGTAACTCTGTGATACGCCCAACACGCAGGGACGTGTCCGATGGGGTGTTCTCCCTCTCCCTGGCCCCCCTGTCCCATTGTCCCCAAGGATACGGGTCGCACACTGGCCGGTGTCCTCAGTTCCTGACCTTTGCCCTTCCCAAACACGTCCTTCTTGTGTGCCTTTGTCTTCGGGCTGTGCTCACCGCCCTAGCCAGCATCTCGGTTGATGGCCAGCATACAACAGGGGCCTAATAAATGCACGCAAAGCCGAGCGAATGACAGAAAGAACAAACGAATATGGACGTCTCTCGTCCAGACTGTCCTTGAAACGGTTTCTGGTGTCCCTCGAGAGACCCCCCCCTCCTCACAGCTCAGCCTCATCTTCTCCCAGACACCCCTGCAGCAGGCCCCGCCGCCCCCACCCCTCCCCGCCTGCGGCCACCTGTCCCCAGCCGTGAGAGGTCGGGTAAACAGGCTGAGCGACAGAGTCACATCTGAGAGCCGGCCCACGCCAAGAGGGGCCGCGTCGGTGGCCTCGTGGGCAGCTCGTGGGACAAGCTGGAGACCAGAAGACCAGGCTCGGAAACAGCCGCTCAGGACGCAGGACACGACGGGAACACGGGGACACCCGGTGGGTGGCCCCCGACCTGCGCCCTCCATCCGTGACGTTCTCCGCTCGGGACTCGAGACACGGAGATGGCCCGGTCAGCCCTCCCGGGGTGGCCCTGGGCTCATCCTAGACTGGAGGGACACACGCACGTTGACAGTTGTCCCAAGAATCCGTACGGCCGTGTAACCTCCCTTAAAAGGAAAGACAGCCGTGATCAGAAGAGAACAAGTGTCGCCCGGTGGTCACAAGACGCACACATCAAAGACAACAAACATCCACACAAAACCTGTTTGGGATTCGAAGGCCACCAGGGAAACCGCGACCCAGGTCTGCGGCCGAGCGTGGGCCGGATTTCGCCACCCGATGACGATCTTGTTCCGCAGCCCGTCTGGTCAAAGCTGCTTCGTCTGCACGGTGACAGTCTGAGCCCAGAGGTCACCAGCGACGCCTTCCAGCCGCAGAGTCGTCCCCAGGGCTTGCGGGCCGCGCTCGATTTTCAAGGCAGTGTGGATTCAACGTTGCGCAAGGTGACAGATTCGTGTCCTCAGGTATGTGACATTTATGCAGGCAGCTCGCGCGGGGAGAGTCGGGGACCACTTTTCGGATAATGACAACCTAACGCACGCATAAAGCATTTACTATAAGTCAGGTATCGTTCTGAGCACGTCTTAGAACCTTCATTTTACTGATGACGAAACAGGCACAGAGAGGTTGAGTTATTCTCTCAAGGTTGCACAGCTTCTCAGTCCCAGAAGCGATTCAGAGCCCAGGGTCTGCGTCTTTAGCCAGCAGGCCACGCAGCCTCTCTGCCCCAAATTAGACCAAAAAAAAAAAAAAAAAAAAACCCACAAAAACGCTGTGTCAGTTGGCTCCTCCTCCCCGACTTTGCCTACACGATCTAGAAATATCTATGCATACGTAGCAGTTTCTGCAAAATCACTCACCCTTGCGTTGGACTTTCCCCACCTAAATGAAACCACAATCTCATTTGCCTCTGAAGGTCTAACTTGAGTATCAGATCCGTGGCATCTATTTAAAAAAAAAAAAAA